AACAACAATATTTCTTAACATTTTTAAATGTGTTATTTTACAAATAAAATGTTTTATTATAAAATGTTTTATTTTATAGAAACGTTAATTTTTGTATAATTCTACTCGTGCAGACGCGTGAAGTTGGCATCTTTTTTACCTTTTTTGTTTAAAGGTAGGTTTGTTCGGATTAGAATCACCAGAATTATTCCTTTCCTCTCCTTATCATGATATTCGCATTAGAAATTTTTGGCCTTATACCGGACGATATTAATATTCCGATGAGATTTTGCCGCGATACGTGATGTATTGTACCGAGAGCCTCAACCGCATCCGATTCTCGGTGTTTCGGCGACTATTATCCTTAGTAAACGTTTCGCTATTGTGCATACAACAATTAAGCTGACATTTCCAAGTTGATTTGCGCGACGTGGCGCAATTATGCTTCATTCGTATACCGAATACAACTGGATAAATCTATTGGGTCAGCGATGTCTCGCATTCATAGCAATTTGCACCTACGTAGCTCATTCCGAAAGCAAATAAAGTTAGCGGGTTTCAGTCGCAACGAGCGAGAAAGCTCAACTTGTTCCTGTGCATCAAGTAAAAGAAATACGCAGCTGATACGTCCCTATATAGAAAATTTCTTGAATTCTAATTATAATTCGCTTTTCCTAAAAAATTATGGACTCTGATTAGGAAAACTATGTAAATTTAGGTTAATAATTTAATAATTCAAACGTTAATTAAAATAGAAAATCTAAACAGATTCAATTTACTCTAACAATCCCTTAAAGATTTATTATAGTTTTTATTTTTATTTTAAAATAAAACAACATATAATTGACGTTTTATGGATCTACGCTTTATAAACATTCTTATTTAAAAAATATATACAATATGTCCCAGACTCTCCTTCGTATATATATATATTTTTTTATGAGAATGTAGAACGGGTTAACGTTTATCTTAGTCAGAATATGAATGTGTGATCGCCTTCTATACCGTTTAGAATGACGAACTCTACAAAAGGAAGGAGGACACGTAAACGTTTGGAGTATGTATAAAATATATCGGTTTCCAGTCTTTGCGAGATACGAGAAAATGAAGAGTGTGTGTGTGTAAATTTCTTTTTATGTTTACATTTATCATTCTATTATACTATAACGTTGATATAATATTACATTGCAATGTTTCTGAGGGAAAACATTTCAACATTTTACAACAATCTTGTCGCAAATTTGTAACAATATTGCAGAAACATTTACAACGACATCTAGTCAACAAGTGAAGAACGCTATTATTTTTAAGAATGAAATAAATATATAAATAATATATAATATTTATAATATGTAATATATAAATTTAACGCATATGGAAAACATATCCCTACTGAAGAAATTATCTTGAGATCTCAATTGAATTCTCAAATAAGATACCTTAAGACTTTTTTCAGTAGAGTATACAAGTAGATTAGGTCAAACTGAACAAAAAAATCCGCTACCATTTTACGAACAACCACGTAAAATTCTAAATTTATTAATCAAAGAAGATTCGTGAATGATCACGCGCTATATAGTAGATGAGTTATGAAGTACCATAATACATAAGCATACAGCAAAGTCTGCCGCTGTATGCTTATATATTATGGTACCTTTTCATGCATCGCTCATCGCTCGTTTTAAGCAATAAAAGAGTTATGTGACTGGATTGTCGCTAGCGACTAACTATCGAGCATGAAAAGGATTTTCCAGTGACGTGATTTTAATGTGGTAGCGTCAGACGAGGAATTTTATTAACAATTGCTCCAAAATAAATATAGTTACAATGTCACAATCAACAAAATATTATAATTGGATAACTGAGTGTGTAAAAATGATCAATGATAATTTCACATAATCTACACGTTTGAACACGAGACTCATTCTATAAAAAATATTCTAGAAAATATCTTACATATATAAAATAAATATTTTATTTATTTCAATATTTTTTTACGTTACATAAAATATTATTTGTATACTTTTGATATAACCTATATAATAAAAATAACCTATTTATATTTACATTTAAAAAAGCCATTAAAAAAATTATTACTATTATTATTATTATTATTAATACTAAAGACATTATTATATATGTTCAATATATTCATCATACAATATTATACTTACCATTTCATTATCCATTATTCGAATATTTACACTTGCTAATGTCGCTTGTAGTTGGAAAATTCGAACTACAATTTCACGTCGCTAGCGACTGCATAACGTCATCATATCGCAGAAAACGAGCGATGCACGTAAAAGGCTATCTTTAGGTCAAACTAAACAAAAAACTCTCTCTCTCTCTCTCTCTCCCTCCCTCTCTCTCTCATTTTCCAAATGACCGTGTATATGTTTAGTTATTAATTAAAGAAGATTAGTGTACAATTGTGCCCAATAATGCATTAATCTTCTTTAATTAATAAGTAAACATTTATGTGATCATTTGGAAAATTGACTTTTTTTATTAATTTAACCTAATATACAAGCATACAACGACAAACATCGCCATTACAGCTCATTCACCGTACCCTTACGAAAAAAACACCCAATTTTTTGTGTAAAAATACCCTTGAAAGAACCTTTAAATGTTTAATGTAAATTCGGATCGTAAATTGACAATTAACACCGAGGGTTAACCTTAAACAAAAACTTCAAATAAGTGTAACCTCTAAACGGAAAAATATATTATCTTACAGAAACGATTGCAACTAGTCAGTTTATGTTGATTTTAAATATAAATTCAGCTGTTTTATTTGATTTCTCACTATTTTCGCACTTGAAAATTTATTCTTAGTACTAGCTTCCGGAATGGAGCCGTGTCTTGAATCAGCGATGTGCCGACGTTTCGCAAACATTGCAGTTTGCATCATCAGGGCTGAGAACTCTGATACTGTATCAGAGTTCTCAGTATCAGAGTTCTCAGCCCTGATGATACAAACTGCAACGTTTGCGAAACGTCGGCACATCGCTGATTCAATACACGGCTCCATTCTGGAAGCTATACCTATAAATTGTATTAATGGCCGTGAAAGTCTCAAATCTAGTATTCTCAGTACTGGTCGGACACGAACTCGAGTCGGAGACAACACCTCCAAGGTTCCTAGTCTACCACCTTAGCTACTGCGCTATTTCCTCAACTGATACTAAGTGTATTTTATTATCTCTATACGCAGCCGACTAATTATAATTTTCTTATAATATTATTTAGTATAATTACAAAAATAAAGTATTTATAATTCTAATATTTCATATAATAAAAAAGAAGTTAGAAATACATGCATAAAATATTTATGTAAAATATGTTTACCTAGGTGTTACAAAACATTACAATTTAAAAAATATTTAAAGAAACATTTTTAAAACGCTAAAAATAATGGCATAAGTTTTCTTTTTCATTAAAAAGACGTTTTTTTAACGTTTTCTAACGTTTGGAAAAATGTTTTGATTTTTAATATTTAATAAACATTTATTTTAACATTTAGAAAATATATTTTAAATGTTAAATGTTAACATTTAGGAAAACGTTTTTTAAATGTTAAAGCAAATGTTTATTAAATATTAAAAAACAAAATAATCTTCCAAACGTTAAAAAACGTTATTTTAATAAAAAAAAGAGAATTTATCCCATTATTTTTAACGTTTTAAAAATGTCTTTTCAAATTTTTTTAAAATGTTTTTTTAAATATTGCTTGTTCATTGGGTAACAGAAATAACTAATAAATAAGTAAAAAATATTATATTATATTCGTAATATTTTTTAAATATTGCTGTAATATTGCTAAAGTAATATTTCAAATTGATGTCACTACAATGTCTCTGCAACATTGCACTGTAATATGCAATGTTGCAACGTTATAGCAATATTGCTGCAAGCTTCTATGATATATGAGATAGTAACACCGAAAATGGTAGTCTGTATGAAAGTCAGGATATATGTATTATTTCAATATATTTTTAAAAAACATTTTTTTAATTATTCATTAATACGTTATTTCATCAATTATGTAAAACAAGTACGTTATTATCTTTCTAGATAGCACAAAAAATTCAAAAAGAATTCAGTCGTATGTCACCAATTCTGGATTCATTTTTAGATGCAAAAAGAATTTTTTTCACTGAACTGAACTTTAAAGAATATCTTTTGCATCTAAAAATGTGTGTGAACTCAGAATTGTGACACACGACTAAATTATATTTGAATTTTTTTGAATTCTCTGTGCTATCTGAGTTAAAATTTGCGCATATACGACTCTAATGTACTAAATTTTACTAACATAAATGTTTTTGTACAAATACTTTTCATATAAGTTAATTATTATCCGACCTTACGTTTGGTCAACATATAAAGATGACTGTTGCTCGTGCGAATAAAATTCTGGGATTTATTTAGATTATTTATTTATCGTTCGGAATTAACATCAAAACTTGTCGGTTTTGCTAACGGTTAGCACGAAAATATTTGGGGGTGTAATCTGAAAGATTGAATGTTAAAATTGGGAGTGAATATTAAAGCTTGGGGGTTGAATCATTTGGGGTCTACTCTGAAAGTTTCACATTCAACACTACTCATTGAGAGTCAACACCAAAATTTAGGAGTTGACACCAAATCATTTGGGTTCTACCCTGAAAATTTGAGGGTCTACCCCAAAATTATGAGGATTAACACCCAAATTTAGTGGTCAACCTTCAAATTTGTTGGTCAACCCACAAATTTGAAGGTTAACCTTCAAAATTTGGGGTTTTTTTCGTAAGGATATGGCGTGATCATTCATGAATTTTCTTTGAGATTAATAACTCAAAATTTTATATAGTTGTTCGTAAAATAGTAAATAAAACGATAAACGTTGCCTAATCATTTCTTTTCCTTCTCGATAATAAGAAAGTAACATTCTTGCACATAAATATTCATTGTCCTGTTTGTTGATTGTAATTATTGTAATTTGTCGCTAATTAAAGGTGATTATCTATCGACAGAGTTATCGGGGTCGAAGCGGCCGTTTCTTCAGCGTCTCCACCGAAGACTCGAGCGTCGACTCCGAGGTAGGCACTTGCACGACACTTGCTTCTGGCCGGAGTTCCGCTGGGGCTGCGGGACTTAAAGCCAGCAAGCAACGTTGGAGCGGATTCTTTACTAATACCAAGGGTACTAAAATGGACCTTCTAACTGCCCAACTTGACGAGTACAACAAACACGGCGTACCGAAGTTCACGGACATTTCGTTACACTGTGACCTAGCGATCAACGAAGAAGAAGGTATGTTTCTGAGGTTCAAGCTCTACTCTTTCTATAACATACATTTCTTCCCGCTATACTTGAACTTTTTTAAGGAAATAAATAATATAAAATTTAAAAAGTCTTAGAAATCTTTAAAAATCTTTAGAAATTCTGTATTGAAATGCTAAATCATCCGCTGGAGCTGCGGGATTTAAAGCAAGCAGCATTGAAGCGAGTTCTAAACCATCAAAAGACGCGGTAGCGTCTCGCGCCAAGTAAACGCGCGAAACGAGAAACAGCGTGAGACCGGCAATGTATAACTTACGCTTTTCTTCACCTTTTTTTTAAAAAAGGTATAGTATATATAGTAGCGCAACTCCTCGTCAAAATTTTTGATGTCAGTGTTGGTTAAAATGGAATGCGCATGCGTAACCAAAAAAGTTGTAAAGGGAAAAAGAAAGTAGATCAGATCATTGTTGTTCTCTTTCTAACACATGCTTTGTACAATGCAGTAACAAGAATGATGGGTGTCTATAGCAGCCAATAGCAGGGGCGAAGGAATTGTACCGATTATAATAAAAATTAATTGTTCCTTGCAAAAGAGGATTAGAAATAATATAATATTTATATAGGTATATAATATTTATATAGGTTAACAATCCTCAAAATATTTTCAAATTTTAATATAATTTAATTTTAATATAATTAAATATAATTTAATATAATTTTAATATAATTTAATTTTTTCTCGCGCACACAATTCACACACTAATTACACAGCATATATAAAACACTTCGCACTGCATACTTCACACTAAACATTACGCTACACTACAATTTATTTAATAAATTGTATATTTTGCTCTTCTTAGCACATGAAATATGCATTAATCATGTAATTAGCGTCTTTGAAATGATTAGAGAGAGCTACTATCTCTTATGCTTTTTCCTCTACTTATGCTTTTTCATCTCTCTTAAACGGAAATGTAGTTAAAAAGAGAAACAATATATTGCCTTCCTTCCTCTTCTTCAATATCTTTGGTCGCGCATACGCACTTTATTTTCGGCCAACACAAAATCAGGCGAATTGCGCTAATATATATATATATATATATATACTGTGCTAATATCTAAGGTACTAAGATGGACTATAGACTAATTCTAACTACTCAACTTGACGAATATAACAAACACGGCGTACCGAAGTTCACGAACATTTCGTTATGCTATAATTTGTTTGATTTAACGTTCCGTGTCGTCAATCGCGTTGACTGTTTATGTGTTTCATGACGAGTGCTTAAGGTAGCTATATCGCTAAATTTGTATTTTTAATAGTATATCAAAGAGCAACTTATAAGTTTATTATTTATTGGACAAAATTATGTTTGTATATATTTATTTCACTATTCAAATAATAAAAGTTAATTTGAAATGAAGCTAAGATAAATATATACATAAAAGCGTGCACGCACGTGCGTGTATGTGTTAAATATCATATATATGTATGTGTGTGTATATATATAGTAACGTATTCTTTCTCGGCTTACGTCCAAATTCCGCCCAACGCAGCACTGACGCGTCTTTGCGATGAGAAAGTGTAAAGACCGTTCCTCCGAAAGATAGCAGACCCATAAGACAAAAGAATGAGCGTCAAGTACGGTGACGACCGTACCATCGGGAACCTCTCTTACGTATTCAGACGGTCGGCGATCTAGTCCATTCAGTACGGGCTCAACTAACCTCATCAATATGTTAACGCGCATGTTAAGATTCGAGTCTCAGACACGTTAAAGAATAAGATAGTAATTTGATATACAGTGGATTTTACTTACAAACTATATTATATAACTGATTACATAGAACAGTACTACAATATTTACAAACTTCGCTTCCTTTATCTTGCGTGCTCTCGACAATATTCGTCTCGCTACGATACTTTGTAATATTATATCTTAGCACATTTATTATCTGTGTATACAAATTTTGAATCAATTTATTTATAATATTATATTAATTATATGATTAATATAATATAATAACACACACGCATTATATATTGTAAATATTATATATTAAATATATGCAATTATGTATGTGTTATTTTTTTACAATTCACTATATTCCCATATCTATAGTAACATATCTATCTACAATATCCATACACTTGGACAGTGTGGCGCCTATAGCATGATGTTATATAGTACGTCATTTTCAATAATTAAAGCGAGACCAACTTTTACTATTATGGATGGATTTGGTATTAAATGCTCTACAATTTTTGTCCTTACAAAAACTTAAAAATTTTGTGAAGATAACGAGTGGAGGAGGAAGAGGATCGCGCCAGAGATGACGCTTCTGAACGGCATCTCTGAGCGTTATCTAGGGAGAGTCATGAGCGTGGAGCATCAAGTAGCTCAGTGGTTTAGAGCAGTCGCCCGGCAAGCGAGAAAGATCCGGGTTTGAGTGCAGGCCTAGCAAAACCACGCTCTCGATATTTTTCTCTCTCCAGAACGAAAAGATACGCAAGTCCCAAACGCACGGCGCACAGTGGGGACAAATAGGAATTTACTGTTCAAAAATCGCTACAGACCACAATTTTATAACTATCGTGATGAATTTTTTTTTTTTAATTAAACGTTAATCAATGTAGAAAAAAACTGTCGAGTCCAATTTTTTAAAAAATTGTTCTAAATATTCCAATATTGATAAGAATTTGTAAAAAAATATCAAGTTTTGCGAGCCACTTTTCCAATTAGAGAATTTCCATCTTTTCACTGCACAGTACTAAGATTTTCAACATCGCTAATTACGAATCTGATATAGAAAATCAGAATTTAGCAGTTTTTGCAACTGCCAATCTCCTGTCAACATAAAATCATTATGTTTTAACCATTTAAGGCATATAATTCATGGAATATTTTAGTAACTTTTTTTTAATAAAATATTGTAAAAAACATTCTAAATAGCACATTTATAAGGTTTCAACTGCTCGATCCTAAGTGGTTTCTATTGGTACCAGTGATACTTAAAAAGTTAGCATAGTATATGTTGAAACTGATGGACGGTTGAAATTTTATAAATATGCTATTTAGAATGTTTTTTTATAATATTTCATTTTAAAAAAGTTACTAGAATGTTCCATAAATTATGCGCCTTAAAGGGTTAAAGCATAATGATTTTGTTTATGTTGACAGGAGATTGGCAGTTATCAACAGCCAAATTCTGATTTTTATATTAGATTCGTAATCAGCAACGTTGAAAACTTTAGTACACTGTACTGGGCAGCGAAAAAATGGAAAGTTCTCCAATTGGAAAAGTGGCTCGCAAAATTTGATATTTTTTTAAATTCTTATCAATATTGCAATATTCAGAAGAAATTTTTTAAAAGCGGGTTCGATAGTTTTTTTCTACATTGATTAACGTTTAATTCAAAAAATTCATCCGATAACTATAAAATTGTAGCGATTTTTTAATAGTAAGTTCCTATTTGTACCCACTGTGCGGCGTCCCACCGCCACCTAGTACGCTCTCTTCCTTCTATGATAAAAAATTGGACATTTAAAAAAAATGAAATATGTTGTTGCAAAAAATATTAAATACTGTAAAACTTTTATAGGAAACATTTTTTCATATACTTCATATCTTAGAAATTATTCCATAAAAATGAAAAAGTTCATTTTTTGTAAGAGGCTGTTTTAACCCATAAATCTCAAGATAAACCGATATAAAAAACATAGGTCTCTTATTTTTTTATGCTTTACAACATATCCAAAACGCATCCCTCGGTGAGGAACAGTTCTGTCAGGTCCCTTGTAAGATAAATACGAATTAATTTGTTATTATTCTTTATTTCAATAGGTGTCCGTGAGAAACGAATTTATTGTTGTTAATGAGGTAAACTCAATTTCGATCTAAGGCATATCTTAGCCGAAGGAATAATTTGATCATTTGATAATTTGGTCATTCTTAGCATGATAACTAATAAGTCAAATCTGTTCTAAATTTTTTTTATGTTTTCTAAAAACTAGCCAATCAAACTTCTTCACAAATTTAGATCGCTTATTGATATAAAACGCACTGTATGTAACGATACTGTATGTTTGCAACAAAATGTGTTTCAGTAATAATTAGGTAACTTATTAAGAATCCTGCGAGTAATAGAATAAATCGATTTTTATAAAAAGAACATTTGGCGGAATCTTACAAATCTTGAATTTTGGTAAAAATCAGGTTTTTTATATATATTTTGTTTGTGATAATTTCTGTTTCTGGACCTATAATGAACCAATTGTACGATACATAATATATCACAAATATATCGAGACAAAAAAATATCATACTTGTTACAATTATTTAAGAATTCAATACGAAGTTTCAAACCGATCACATTTTCGTTTAATCAATCATTAACATTTAATCAATCATTTTAGTTGTACGACCATTAAACCGAAATAGAGACACAAAAACGCAAAGAAGCAAAATCGAACTGAAGAACGCATTATTTCTGCGCATTAGTCTGCATAAACGACATACAGAAATATAAAATCTCTAAATATATACAATATAATCACTAACAGGGTTCGTTAAAAGACAAATAAGAGTCAATAAACTGCCGATGTAATAGCGATGCAAAAATGTTTTTATACAATTAACATAATTACAATAATCATCTGCTAATTCATCATCTGATTATTCATCTGCTGAATGATCACTCTCTTTTTCTAATTGCACGTGCTGTTAAATAACATCTCAATATATTTTAATGCAAGTTGCAATAAATTTATAACGTGCATATTACTCGCTTACAAGTAGATTTATAGTTTCCATCTGAAAAAAAAAAACAATAAGAAGGAGCTACTCGACGAAGGATTTCGTCGCACTCGTGGCGCCCTAACCTCAGTGTGTTGCTTGTTCTCCCGAATAAGAGATATATTATGTAAGTAGAGAAAAAGAAAAACAAAGAGAGAGAGAAAGCGTCAAGAGCCGAATAATTGGACCCGCTGTCGACAGGATTCGGCATGACAGGCTGTGGAAATTGC